GTCTACTCCATTTGCTTCCGGAAGTCCCCGAGACGTCACGTCTTTTACTGCGCATGTGTGTCACATCAGTGCTGTGTAGCGTTCACACAGGGGTCTGATGCAGGTCACATTTAAAATGTAATGTGAACGTTCACACAAAAAGATCGGATTTTTTCAAAAAATCGGAACTGAGCATTAAGACCTGCAGTGTGAACGTAGCCATAGAGCCATTCAAAAGAGCCGTTGGATTTTGAACGAGTTACGTCATCACGTAGGGAAATATGTCATCGCTTTGCTGTACATGATGACAAACTCACAGGCCCCACTGGGATCCGCTACGCCGGAGCAGATCCGGCCATGGACACAGAGGCCCGGGTCTCCAGGGCGCAAAAATAAAATTCTTCTGATTTTGTTTGTTTTCCTGTTCTGTCTCTAAACAGGTATCGCTCTGTTTCCTGACAACGCTGAACTGCTGAGCTGCAAACATTACTACCACGACTACATCCCACCTTTAGTGGACCCTGGAAAACCTCAAACAATGGACTGTGAGGTGACAGAAGTGACTTACTTTGGGCCATTCACAAACGAGACAGAGGTGAGATGGAAATTCTTTGATTTGTTGGTTTTACAGGCATTAAAGGGATCTCTGACTTTCACATGTTGGCCTTAATATGTTCTTGTTTGGGACACAAAACTCCTAATTACTTAAAAATTGTATGTTTACCACATTTTTCACTTAAGCCTTAAGAGTCAAGGCTAMAAAACAGAAATGTGTGACCACTGAGCAGGCTTTTAGCTAGGATTTTGGATGAGGGGTGTTATGGATTAATTATGTATATCTGTTCTACCTTGACACTGTCCAGTAACCATATCTTATTATAACCAGTTTTCAGCTGTTAATCTGTTTTGGCCCAGACAAYRGGACTCCAGCGAGGGATTGACCTCTCTTGTTTGATAAGGAACTCTTTGAGCTGAGAGCCCTGTGATTGGCTGGGCAGTTACATTCGTCGATCTGTGATTGGTTGTAAACTGTCACGTGATGTTATATTATTGGCTTGCTGTCTGCTGACGACAGTCACAACTCAGCAGATTTCCTGATTGACTGTCTGCTCTGTTGTCGCTCAGAATTAAATCATAATTGACGACCATACACGCAGACTTTCTGTGCATTTATTACGTGTTTCTGCATTCTTGGTAAATCATTTCCACGACAAGGGGGTTGACACTTTATGCTAATTATTATTTATTTATTATAATGTTGCACGGATTAAAGTACGTCAGAGTGTATTTTTTTAGGGTTTTAGGCTTCAAAATAATTTGACTCTTATGGTTGTATCCCCTCTGCTGTATAATTTTAGCCAGTTTTTGTGCCAATAATGTTTGCATTTATTTCCTCGTCTGCAGCAAGGAGCTTGTGGGTCTCAGAAAAACAAACAAGCAAACAAACAAAAAATCTGAAAGGAGTCCACCTGTGGTGTTTTGACTAAGGAAACCTGCAGCTGGGTGGTCTACAAAGGTGTCAGACAGCACTACGTCGGCCCCCTTTTTCTCTGTCCCACCTCTCCATCTCTGTTTACCTTCTGAATGGGCAGAGTCAGAACACGTRTCTGTAACGTTGTTGGGCATCTTCTGAAAGAGCCCACACTTTATTATACTGTATCTGTTTGTGTTGCAGAAACGGGCTTTGGTGGTCCGTGGCCCATCTGATGTCAGAAACAAAGAGCTGATCTTCATGCAATTCAGTCAGAATGAAACGGAGGAGGACTTCAGTGCCATCTCCTACATGCTTTTCTCTAAGTTCAGTGACTTGATTGACAGGTAGGTTTTGTACCTGCGTCACGACACAGGAGTGAGTGAACGGCTGGATGWACTGTCTCATGTGTGATCTGACTGTCAGTGCAAACAAATCAGAGTTCATGAGGGGCTGTGAGAAGAATTACTCCATGTGGACCTTCTCTGGAGGATTCAGAACCTGGGTCAAGATGTCTTTAGTGAAAACATCTGGAAAACGTAATGAAGCTGTGGAGTTTCGGCAAGAGGTATTTACCAGGTTCCACTTGCTTATAAAGAAAGTATTTTAAAAGTTTTACCATTATGTCTTGGTTTTGTTTTGTTTTTCAGTCGTCTGTGGTGAAGTTCAACGATAAAAGAGCTGATAAAACCACTGAGCTCTTCTTTGCGGTGTTTGAATGGCGCGATCCTTTCATTCAGGAAATCAGACTGGTGAGTTCTTCCAAACATTTGACTCCAAATTAGAGTTTTGTCTGCATGAATCTGTTGGAGACAGCTATGCTTATCTCTGAACAGATTGTGACTGCGAATCCCTGGAGCTCCATAGCCATCCTCTGCGGCGTCTTCATGGCCCTCTTCAAAGCTGCTAATTTTGCCAAGCTCACTATAAAGTGGATTATTAAAATGAGGAAGAGGCATTTAAGAAATAAAGCAAGAGAACTGAACCCAGTAAGCTGAAACGTAATGCAAAAAAGCACAAACTTTTAGTATTTCAGATAGAAAAGATGCGATTGACTGATTTTTTTTTGTACWGGTGAGATTTTATGTCACTATGTGCATGTTTTAATGACTGGGGATTTATTTGCACTTAGGTTATAGTTGTTAAAACGTGACATATTGCAGATAAAATTGTCACTATTTTTTCCATTTTAACAGTGTAAAAACCATTCAGCTATTCATTTCAATTAAAAACGCTAAATGGTTTATATCTTTGGTGCATTTCAAAAGGAGATATATTTTTTATAGTTTTAATGATAGTTTTTWAAACTTGAGGACCACAGTGTTGCACGCAAAAACCTTGCTGAACGCTCAAAAGCTTTAAAAGTTTTACGTTTTTACAGTTTTTATGTTTAATCTTTCGCTCCAGACACTAAGAAAAYGGGAACTTCAAAGACATGGTTGCTGGACTTTGGATTGGTTTTGTGTAATAATGGAAATTAAGGGAATCTTGTACTGAAACATTTGTGTTGATGCTTAATAAAGTAGGCAAATCAAAGGCAAAACAAAAAAGGATAAAAGGGATTTAAAATATATARATGTGCTGATTTTGTAGTACATATGTAAACTGGTACTCTTATTAGATAGATATTTTTGTATTAGTAAAATATCTCATGAACCACTGGATAAGATTTTCATGAAACTTTTATAAAGTAATCACTGGATGTACAGCGACAACCCAGTAACTTTTGTACCCACATAATTCAAGATGGCTGCTGTGGCACCTGGAAAAATGTTTTAATGGTGGTGGGAGGGTGGGGTGCTTGTGGATTTGCATCAAATCCAAAAGCCTGAATATAATTTCGGGAGATTTGTTATGTTGTTTGTCATATATTATGAAAGTTATTTGACCCCCTGCCCCCACACCTGGTGGTGCCCCTGGATGGCAGCCACAGCTAGTTAACCTTAACCAAAATAACTGACTATAACTCAGTCCTTTTTCAACTGAAGATGTTCTTGCTTTGGAAGTGGTGGCAACATGCGTCACTAACAGGAGAGGATTATGATCAGAGAGAGAAAACACAATCCTTCCTCCCTCCATCCTAATCCTCTTCTGTAGTGTATTCCTGAAATGTTAGGCCTGTAATTTGAAAATGTATCAATGTGGTCATTTATGTTGAAAATATACTTCATTTTTGAACTTTTGTTTGCTATCAAAGTTATATTTTACATCAATTATGTTTTTGGAATTGAAACAATAAAACAAAGATTTTATTCTCAAATGTGGTTGTGAAATGTGTTATTTTACGAAATACAAATGAATATACAATTGTGAAATAATCTGGAT